TTTTTGGTATTAAAGCCCAGCTTTTGCTCACATGCACAGCATATGGCAAATTTGTTGGTCAGAAGCCCTTATTTGTAACTTTTTGAAATTAGGAGGGTCAATTTTGAACAGTAGGGGTGTTATTTGTAACTTTTTGAAAATAGAGGGGTGTTCTTTGCACTTACCCCCAATTATAACACGTGAAATTTCAAATTTTATCGAATTTGAATACAAAACTACAGGATGACTCCTTAAACAAGTTTGACATTGTGAGAAACCTCAAGGATAATTTGAGCTTTCCCCAAAATAATAAATAAGTAAATAAATAAATAAGTGGCAAGTATATGACCAAGAATCTTACTAGATGGCAATCAAAGAGTGCTGGATGCCTGGGCCATGTGCAACCTTGATGAAAGCATCCTCCAAAGGGTGTTAGACATGAACCGTGAACCTGCACTTTGCAGTCTCAACAGCTTGGCAAACATTTGCAATTCTGACTTGTTAGAGTGGTTCAAGCCTCGCTTTCAGATATTAGATCGAGTTTAGTAGGGGACGTTTGAATTATGAATACAAAGACCCTCCACAATTCCACATCTAGCTTAATGTCACGGGCCTAGAGATTTGGCGCAGCGGCACGGCCCGTGCGGCACCAAGGCGTTGCTTCAGCTCGCGCAAGCGCCCTGGTCAGCCACCACAACTTGCCCTCCCAAGGATACATGCTGACTGGTTTCGGCCTGCCATGGCCTCGTCAGGGGAACGGCTCCAGCTCCCGACCAGTTTGTGCAGGGATGGCCAACTCCCTTCTTCATAGTCAAGTCCAAGACTAGCGACAAGCACCTCGAACTGAACCGAGTCGACCTGCCTGAACTCTGAAGAGGTACCATCCTGTGGTCCTGCACGCCCCTTCCCTGGAACCATTCCCAGTCAATAAATGTTCTTAGCCAACCAGCATGCGTATCTTCTCTGCTCATAGCGTCGTTAGGAATCGGATCGTGACATTCTCCCCCACCCAAATCCTGCGACGCCCTCGTCGCAGTGCGGCGCTGACTCCGCTGCGTCCAACATTCCAAAGCCTGTCTCCTCCAAGTGGTATGCTCGCCTGCCCACCATCGCTTCCTTGTACAACCCCTGGCTGCACTCGCCCAATAATAGGGTTTCGGGCTAAAGGGACGCCCACTTCTTCGGGACGCAACCCCACGTTATGCCGCCTCCGCGACACCCCGAGCAAACAAGCGCCCTCCGGCTGACTTGATACCCGCCCTTCATAACGGTTTGCACGCCTCTTGAACTTGCAAGAACTTCGGTGCGCGCGGCCCTCCGGCCATCCGATGCGCGCGGCCCTCCGGCTTAAAGGACGCGTCTTCATGGGGAGATGGAGGCTCTCCTCCAACAGCATTGATTACCCACCGACGCTTTTTCAGTGCACCGTCTTCATTCTCAAGACCCCCGGATCGACAAGAGGGCACACCTCTGTGCTTTTCCCCAAGTCCTGCTCTGATACCATTTGTCACGGGCCTAGAGATTTGGCGCAGCGGCACGGCCCGTGCGGCACCAAGGCGTTGCTTCAACTCGCGCAAGCGCCCTGGTCAGCCACCACGACCTGCCCTCCCAAGGATACATGCTGACTGGTTTCGGCCTGCCATGGCCTCGTCAGGGGAACGGCTCCAGCTCCCGACCAGTTTGTGCAGGGATGGCCAACTCCCTTCTTCATAGTCAAGTCCAAGACTAGCGACAAGCACCTCGAACTGAACCGAGTCGACCTGCCTGAACTCTGAAGAGGTACCATCCTGTGGTCCTGCACGCCCCTTCCCTGGAACCATTCCCAGTCAATAAATGTTCTTAGCCAACCAGCATGCGTATCTTCTATGCTCATGGCGTCGTTAGGAATCGGATCGTGACATTAAGCTGTCATCAACCACAAGAATACTATTTGTTTGCATTTCGAAGAAGAATATGCACATATAACAACTACTTTTGTGATCATTGTGCTGTTAATTTAAAGTTTGAGAACATAGACACAAAAGTACAAACATTTATACAAAAATACAAATAATAATGGTGATAAGAATTAATCTCCTAAAGAATCCCCTCTTTTAAATCTCATACCAGCATTTTTATGTAGAGATGCATGACCATCTCTCTGCTCAAAAGACCCAGCTCTAGCCATCATAGGACCAATCTCTCTGAAAAATATAATGATCAAATGCATCCATCTCTGCATGACGTATCCATGTGAAAGACACAATCTATCTCACAATATTAGTTACATGTTGAGTCCATACAGGAACCAATTATACCATTGACAATATATCAACATTACCTCTGTTAGATTTCCCCATCCGCAGGAGTTCCTAAATGGTCGAGAAGAGGTCCAAGCCTCTTCCAGTGGCTGTGCTGAAACCATTCGGGCAAACTGCATCGGTGGAACTGTGAGGGAAAATATAATGCCTAGGTGATTTTAGTATAAGAAGACCAAGGCCAAAACTAGAACTCCTTGGGATGCGACCGGCCATATTCAACAAGGAGAAGATGAAATAGACTTATATCATCTAAGAAACCACAGTTTTTAATGAGTGAGAGATAGAGAGTACTGGAGAGAATAACTGTTCTATCTTGTTTTGCATCATTCAAGAATACTGTTGCTTGAAGCTGGATCCAGTCTTGTACCAAACAGCCTTTACAAAATAAAAATAAAAAAATAATAACTTGTCCTGCTTGAGCGTGTCAGGAAAATAAGTATTCAAATGAGCAGATAGACTGAAGATGAAGACATACTTTGGGTTACCTACTCAGTTGAGTGTAACCACTAGGCCTCCTCTCCATACCTCCACAGCATCTCCATACCTCCATGAAATAACTTGACACTCATAAGAAATTCTTCCACAAACTGCAGCAACAGACAGGAAAGTATTTTTTTCAAAACTTGTCCTGTAATGTTTCTTATTTTTGCCATTTTCCATTTTCTCGAATTTTCTGTTTTTTTTTTGGAGCTATTTCCGTTTTATCTCGGTATGCGCGCCAAACACTGTAAGAGTGTGCCGAGTGTGTTTAGGAGTTGGTTGGAGAATTTCCTTGAGATTAGGACCCTTGAGAATGCATGGGTTGCCATTTCGACATTTTTCTGTTTTTCAGACCAAAAGGTCCCAAATGGGACCCGCTACCAGGGTTGTTGTTCATAGGAGTTGTGTTACGGGTTCATGCATTGTTTTATCATGCGTATTTATTTGGTTGTGTGATTGATTGTGTGGTGGTAAGTGGTTGGTGTGTGTATGTGTGTGTGTGTGTGTGTATATATATATATATATATATATATATATATATATATAATATTATTAAAAAGAACGATTTTTTTTTTATTGGTGAGACCCACCAATGTTTTCATTTTTTATGGCCATAAGACCATAAGGCCATTATGCTGATCCCATTTTCTCTCACTCTCTGCCACGACTCTCTCTATCTCTCTTCCTTTTATTTATTTATTTTTCTTTTATGTCATAAATTTCTCCTCCATTTTTGGCCAATTGATCGGGTTTTTGGTCTTGGTTTCTTAATAGAAAACGTTCCTCTCGTCATTCTTTATAACATAGTCAAAGGATTTATTTTTCTGAGGAGCGGTGATTTTTTTATGAATTTTTGAAGTTTTTTTAATCTAAGGCTTCAGAGAGGGTTTTGGGACACTTGGAGTCAGATTTCGGAGCCGAGCATTTGGAACAGTAAAATCTCCTCGTCAACGGCTACGTTTCCACTGAACAGTTTTCTGTTCCGCCGCTATTGACTGGCGTTGACTTTTCCTGCCGAGATGCATTTTGGTTACTTTTAAGGGAGGGATGTCTAAACCATTAAGTTTTGACTTTAGTTGAGTTTGTTTACTTGGTTTCTAGTTAAGCATGATTAAAATGATAAATTTAGAGTACTAAATGTTAATTATGTGTTTATGTGGCAAAGCATGCTCTAAATGATATTGATTGTTAATTATGTGTTGAATTGTTCTCTTGAGGTTATATATATATATACATGATGATGATGATGATGAGTATGTATGATAAAGTTGATAAAATGCAAGCATGTGTATTGTCAATTTCATTCATGCATGATTCCATTCATGGCATGGGCATGGTTTGGAAAAAGTAGGGTTGAAAGGATTCTTGTAAAGAAATGTGATTGAAAGGGAATTGTTAGAAAATGATTTAGAAACGAACCGGGTATCGCGAGCCCGGGGCTAACTTAACCTAGAGTGGGTGCGGCCAGGTGTAGGGCGTGAAAAAGTTGACACTAAGAGTCTCAATCCCGGCTCAGTAAAGTCAGTTAGCGGCTAATGTGACCTAAAGTGGGTGCGGCCTGGTGTAGGGCGTGAAAAAGTTGACGCTAAGAGTGTCAATCTCAGCTTGGTAAAGTCAGTTAGCGTATGTGAAGATTTAGGATTGGTGTGAGACCAAGCTCGGGACGGTTACGCAATGCATTGCATTTCATGGCATTTTAGCACCTATGATTATGACTGATTATGTAATGATAACTTTTTTAAAAATTGAATGTCGTGGATTGTGATTTTGATAATTCCTCGTGTATGATTCTGACATCTTTTTCCCGTTCTTTGATTGTTGACTCAAGAGAGTCCAAAACCGGTGTTTTAAGCATTATCTATTGAGCTGTTCACCCCATCATATTATTACATTTTTCAAGTCACGGAAAGGAAGTGGCGAACGACATTCCTCTATAGGCTTGAATGGGTTAGTGGACTGTTCTATCATCTTTTGTATTTGTGATCTCATTTGTTTTGTATAAGTCTTGGGATGGCACGTATATATAACCTCAGGTTCGAATAAGAACCCAGTAAGACTCCCGGATTCGGATCGTTACATGTCCCTTGAGACGACCAAGAAACAAAAGCGTGGTTGACATTGCTGAGTTAACAAGAACTAGAACTATGTCCTTGTAATATTTTTCTACTTGGTAATGATGCATCTTGAACAAAGAGCTGAAAAAGAATGCATCCTACGAGCCTAGTTTGATGGACCATGATGAATGCTACAACCAAAATCATCCAAATTAAATATATAGTGCGACATCCCAAAGGCCTTACCAGCTGCATTAGCAGGTTTCAGACCTAGCATCATTAGAACTCTAAGTTGGGGTCAAAATCATAAGTAGCCCAAGTCAAATGCAGTGCCAGCCCATCAATGGTTCTATAAACATCTTGACGTCTTAAGTGGGATTTGTCGCTGACTAAAAATTTATGCACCTTATCATCCAACTCTATCCAACTACATGCAACTGTTTTCCGTGATGTCTTGCTTTTCATTAAGGACCTCACATTTGAGACCTCTTGCCATCTCCCTACACTGGCATAAATGTTAGAAAGAAGGACATAGTTTCCAGTATTCTCAGGCTCTAGTTCTAGTAACTTGCTAACCGAGAGCTCTGCAAGCTCAACATTCAAGTAGATCCTACTTGCACTCAGTAATGTACCCCATATTGTGGCGTTGGGCTCCACTTCCATCTTAGATATAAACTCATAGGCTTCTTTTAGTCTCCCATATCGACAAAAAAGGTCCACAATACAAGCACAGTGCTCTACCTTTGGTGAAATCTTATGTTCTGAGCTCATGATTCTGAACAATTCCATACCCAGTTCGACAAGGCCTGCATGAGTGCATGCTGTCAGTAGCCCGACAAACGTTATATCATCTGGTTTAATCCCAATTGCTTTCATTTTCTCATAATGAGCAATTGCATCCTCTGCAAAACCATTTATTGCCAGCCCCGTAATCATAGAATTCCAAGTAACAATATCTTTCCAAGGCATCTTTTTGAAGACTTGACGAGCTTTACTTATATTTCCACACTTGGAGTACATACCCATCAGTGCCGAAGCCATATAAACATTTGAATCCATACCATGACTCTCTGCATAGTTGCCAATGCGCTCACCAATTTCCACCGAACCCAATTGAGAACAAGCTGATAGAACACTGACAAGTGTGACATCATTAGGTTTAATTTGTTTACTCTTCATGCATTCAAATAGCTCTAGTGCCTCACTCGATCTCCCATTTTGTGCATAGCCAGCAATCATTGCACTCCATGCAACAAGATCTCTTTCAGGCATCCGATCAAACACTTGACGTGCCTCATCGACAGCCCCACATTTTACATACATCTCCAGCAATGCAGTTGAAACTACCATATTTGTACACAAATTGTTATCATCAATAAACTTCTTAACGCTCAACCCCAATTCCAAATTCCCAAGTTTAGCACATATAGAGAGCACATTCACCACAGTAAATTCAGTGGGACGACAATTCTCAGCCTGCATTCGTTCGAAAATTTTAAACCCTTCAAGATAATCCCCATTATGGGCATAGCATGAAAGAATAGAATTCCACGAAACAATGGTTCTCACCGGCATATCATCGAAAAGCTGCCGTGCTGTCAAGACATCACCAGATTTTGAATACCCAGTAATTAGACAATTATAAAAAGAAGGATCCTTAAACAAACTCCCATCAAAAATCTTCTTAGCAGAATCTAAATCGCCAATTTTCGCATTGAAATCAATCAAAGCGGTCTGAACAAAAACATTCGAATTAAACCCGTGACTTATTACTAAAGAATGGAGCTGTTTTCCTAATTTACTATCCAACAATGAAGTACACGCCTTGACAACCGGCGGAATGGTGTAACAATCTATCTGGGTATCCTTGCGCCGCATCGAAACAAATTCTTCTATGGCTTCTTTGTTCAAAGAATGTCGAGAGTATGCTGATAGGATAGAATTATAAAGAGTTCGGTCTGGCTGAGGAATTTGATCAAACACCTTGCGACCATAGTCAATGAAGGACCTACTCAAGAGTCTCTTGAGGAATATTGGGGTGATAGTGAGATTTTTTGTGATGATGAGAGCATGAACTTGCTTGAATTGATGTATATGTATGGAGGAGTGAAGCAAGTTTATCAAATGGTGTTTCATATCTTGGTGCAAAATGGGCTGGGGACACTAGGTCAGGTCAGTAGTAAAACAATGGCTTGTGTATTAAGATTACAACATTTAGCAAAACTTCACAAATGGAAAGCAATAATAGCCCACCCATATATAATGATCCTTATTACAGTACTACGTATTATTATTTTCTGGCAAAGTAAAGGGAGGGGAAGACTCGAAGGGCACACTCAGGTCATGCCTGGTCCTTAATTCTATACATGGAAGGGCACACTCGGGTCATGCACTATACAAAATATAATGTGAGTATGATAATTATAAATATCTTAGCATTTTCAAATTTACAACAAAAAATTTTGCGAATTAATATCTCAATTATTTCATGTAATCCACTTAGTTTTTTTTGTTTTCCCCCATGTAAACCACTAGTTATTATCATTACTTTTGTTGAGTCATGAGGAATTAAGCAAATGAAATGACGAGTTTGTCTTTTAATAGCAAAATCGTAAATTTACTTACTATTACCAAAAAATAAATAAATAAATAAATTGGCTCAAAATTTTAATTAAGTGGTGGATCACAAGGGCAAAATCATAAAAGGTGTTTTTGAACGAATTTTGAAATCAAAAGTCTCCGTAGTACTCCTTCATGATTTATCATATGATCATTTGAATTTTCTTAGGTCCAAACAATTTGATTTGGTCATCCAACTTGCAACATAATATCTTACTCAAAATTTCACTTTGTATTAAAACAGAAAAAAATCAAATGTTGATGTAACTTACAAATACTAGATTGAAACGGCAAGTGTCAAATTTGTAATTAACTACCAATGACTTTGAGCCTAACAGCTCCGTGAATGTTTTCCCGAGTTAGGATTGTACCAATTTAAAAATCTCCATGTTCATTCTGCTAAAAATAAATAAATGTTAAATTTCTTCAACAGGCAACAAAAAAATCCACAACCCGGTTCTCTGACTTTCTCAGACCTTAATCTATCAAACATAACCAGAATCACCAAAATTGTCTCATTGAATTCCAACAAAAGCCCACCTGCGATGCTAAGCTAAATGTGAGTCACACAACATTTCATAATAGTATGATGGAGTTGCAACAAGCCCAAACAATTATGGCTTCCATTCAGAAGACAGAAAACCACATTCACCTTGTGTCTTTCTCATGCACCAGCTTTAGCAGGCCAGTCACCATCATCCTGGATTTTAAAAACCAGTAATTCTGCTTTTACTTTGTGGACAGCTCAATCATCAGTTCTTGTAGCTGCCAACCACAGGTCAATCGTGGAAGACTGCTCAGTTTTATTTTCCAGAACAGATGAGAAGTCCAAATGCACAATCAAATGACTAAATAATCACTTGGATAATCATTTCAAAGGTTTAATTTCTAGGATGCATTATAAACAGATGTCCCAGACAGCCTCAATTTGAGTCGACAAAAACTAACTTTAAAGTTAACACGATTGCAGTTTAGCACAATGCTGAAGCCAATGATATACACCTTCACACAGAAACTCTTCAAATGCAAAGAAAACCAGAAACAGCTTTTGGTACAGCACACATCCATAATTACAAATCCAAGTTTCATTTCTACAATCTAAACACATACCAAGAAAACACTCAATAGTACGTTGGCCTTCAATATAATCATAGCAACCCTCAACCTTTAAATCATCTTCTCCATTCTGCTTGGATAACCCTTGCTGAAATCAAAACAATGCCCAAGGTTTAGTTTTTATAATCATACAAGTAAAATAATTAACAAAACTTCAAAGGACTAGATAAGAAGTGAGATATTTTCACAAGTTTTCAATAGGTAATCTTCAAAAAATAGAATTTGCCTCTCAAAACTAGAAACCTAGTGCGATGCATAAATTAAATTGTTCAATGTGAAGTCTTGAGTGGACTACAATGATTCTTTCCTTGATTTTCAGATTAAGCAGAAAAAATGGTATCAGAAACTAAAAATAATAATCCAGTTGACCCTACCAAACTATCATGTATGTGAGTGTATCAAAGTGCACCACTTCCAATGTCAAACAATTAAGAGGGATATCACCTTTCTGGGGAAAAAAAAAAATAAATAAATAAATTAAGAGGGATATCTCCCAGAAATGATTCATGAAAATTATTCCAATATGGGGTCCTTCAGACTACAAGCATGAGATCACGGGTTAGTGCATGAGATCACGGGTTAGTGCATGAGAGCAGTCACTTTGTGTAAATAATTCCATAAAGTTAGGTCTATGTTCAGTCCACCCTATACTGATCCCATGCAGGCGGGTTCTGCACGAGTACTCACCCAAAAGTTCTTCCAAAAATTATCAGAACCAAAAACGTTTTGGCAACCCATATAAAGATAAGAAACAAAATTTCAATTAATATATGACATTTCTTACCATTCCCATCTCTAGATGAAAACAGAGACCTGTCACTTCTATTTCCCCCTTTGCAACTTGCATGCACAGGCCTCTGTGCTCTTGGTGACAGTGAACTCATTTTGCTGCTACTTGAAGATGGCAACGAATGACGCCTGGTGACATTATGCTTCTCAGCCCCATCTTGGCCAAAACTTGGGGAGCCTTGTGCTCTCAATTTTGCCTTTGCAGATTCAGTTGCTGCCATGTAACTTGGCAATGTACGCTTGCTTTGTAACCCATTTTCTGAACGTTCCTGCTTTGCTGACGAAGCTTTCCGGATGGATTTCTGGTTATCACTGCCGGCTAAAACTTCTCCAGAGCTTGATTGCCCATTTGTCACATGAATACTCTCTACTTTTGCGCTATTCTCTAATGGCTCCAATTCAACTGCAGTTTGATCATCACGCAAAATATCAACTACCTCATTCACTATTAATGGTTCTGGAGTTGTTTCTCTATCCGGCAATTTCGACAGAGCCACAGTTTTCTCCTTCATCTTCTCAGCAGAATCACTCACGCACTGCTCCAGAACATCTTGATCTGAAGATCTCGATGCCTTCCCTAGACTGCACTTTGATTTCTCGCTGTCAACCTCAGGCTGAACATTTCCCTCCATTACAGGTGCATGAACCTTCCTCAGACTACGCTTTACTTTCTCAAGCTCATTTTGTGGATGTTCCTGCATTGAATCTGCTGGATGGCTTGAAACCTTCCTGAGGTTGCGTCTTGGTTTCTCAAAATCAATACTTGATTGTGTTGAGATATTGTCGACATCCATAGCAGGGATCCTCCGGCTGCTGTGCTTCTGCCTGCCTGTTTCAGTGTCTGCAGTTTGAGAGTTACCCTGCTTCTTTTGGGATTTTGAGCCAGAAACTTTCTTTGGTTTGGGAACTGGCTTGAAAAGGAAGGATGCCGACCAGCATTCTAGCCAGTTCAAGACTGAATTTGGTTCTGTAGAATCATATTGGAGGTGCAGGGGCATCGCAGTGGGCGATGAAGCAAGAAGCTACAGCAAAAAACCAGGTAGTCACATGCCCAATGAAAAAGCAAGAGGAACAATAAGGAAAAGAACAGAGATCAAATGGGAAAAGATGCAATTGAAATCTCAACGAGTGGCAAATTGATAACTGCCATTCACACTGCTAAACTTAGCTGACCCTCAATTTAGGAGTGCTGCAATAGAAGCAAAGCTAATTTTTCTATATCTTTCTGTATATAATACGTTTAAGGGGCTTTGCTAGGCATGCAGAGAGAAATTATGTCATAGATCTATGTCCTGCAATAATGAAGAAATAAGAAGTTGACAAAATTCTAACTAGGATGCCACAATCATTTACCCATGGTATGTCAAGTTGTCACAGCTTTGAACCGCCATGAAATTCCATGAATCTTCAAAAAAGAAAGAACCAAAATCAAATAGAGGTTCAAAATTTTAAATGCTCATTTTGGAATGAAAATTGTCTCTCTCCAATCACTTACTAAAACCTTGATGGATCCAAAAGATAACTGCTGAAGTTTTTAAAATTTAAAGTACAATAAGGCATCAGTAGAACACAAGCAATCACTGACGTGTGACCCTCGGGTATGAAGTATAAATTACACTTGCTCAGATGTTAATTCCTCGAGAGTCTATGTAAACATTAATATATAGAAGAAGTATCATTGAAGTAATGGAGCACTTCTTTACAATCCCAGACAACTCAAGAAAAGGTATAAATTGAGTACTAGCAACCATGTAGAATCATAAGAGCATAAAAAGCATAGTTATTATGACCTAAATAAATTGCTCCACCTGTGACTATTTCAGAAGATAAAACTTCTAGCAACGATATCTTTGGATATGACATGATGCGGATCTCACCTTACAAACAAAAGTATTTGCTGAAAGCTTTGCTATTCGTGCAGATTTGAAGACTCCAACAGGATCCACATGCTTGCTCTCCTGATGGACAGAAGCATATGAACATTATATTTTATAACAGAAGCATGCAACAAACTTTGGAGTTAAACTTTGTTCCTTGTAGCGAACAATAGGAGTGTATAAAGTCAACTCAACAAAGTCCTCCCAATAAGTTAGGGTCAGTAACATACTAAATGAAAGTTTGACCAAAAGTTCTATGTTGGCCATCTACCTAATGCAATCTCACCCCTATTTCTCTAAAAAATAAAAATAAAAATAAAAAAAGAATATCACATTAGATCCTGGAAAGTACTTTCTATGTATGCTCTTTAGCCCTTCTTGTGTAATTTTATACAGAAACAGAAATTAATTTGTCTTGCTTATGCGCTTGTTCATGGGATTGAGTGTGTAAAAGATGCTTCTGAGAGAGAACTACAAAAACTTTCTTGGTCAGATGTGGTGTAGTCTTTGTCCACAGAGTTTCATCCATACAAATAATGAAGATTAATATCTTCACCTCTTTAAATGTGCCACATGTGACATGCCCAACAAAAGAGCTTTAACTACTGCGGATTGCCATGAATGTTGAACAATAATGCTATAAGATATCCAAAAAAAAGTATAAGGAACGTTTTGCTGACAGATTCTTTAACAATAATGAGGTTTTAATGATATGAGTACTAATGATGTGCTTCAAGAGGTTACCAAAGGCTTCACTAGAATGCACTTTTTTTGCACTTCAAAGCCAATATCAGAATGCCTGATTTTTCTTCCACGAGCAATGGCCTGTAACTTCACAATTCCCAGCATACAGAGTAGAGTAGAAACAGCTTGTCTCCTCACCAAGTGCCCACGAACAAGCGCCTGCAACCTTATTATTCCTTTGAGGGCATGAAATGCTCGGCGAGCCTTCACATAGAATGCTTATATCAGTACTGGCATACCCTCGACAAGTGAGTGCGACCAAAGTTCATATATAAAAACAAGAGCATATGTAAAAATATATTTTAAATTCTCAGAGTTTAAGTTATGTAATAGAGTAAGCAATTAGAGCCAGTTGGCAGGAGCAACTTGTTTTGAAGGTCAGCAAAATTACTATCTGAGGATCTAACAAATCCTTTATTTCTATTCCTTTTCCTTTCCTTATCTTCCACACTTTTAACCAACCATGAAATAAGCTCTCCCCTCTCCTTTCCTGTCATTTTCTTTCCCTTCAAACTACTTGAATTTAAAAGCACTTAAAATGCCTGTATAAAAAGGTACTAATCGCCAGGGACGGACTTAACAAGAAGTCGGGGGGAATTGCCCCCCCTGAAATATTTTTTTTTTGGAATTAAATTTTTATTTTTTTATAATAAATTATATTATTTAGCTGTAAATTTAAAACTTGCCCCCTGGAGTTAAAACAAAAAAGCATTGTTGCCCCCTCCCTCTTTTCACGCGTCTTTTGACTTGACTTTTTTAGAACCCTAACAAAATTAGATCTGCAAACACACACATAGATAAATTAAAAACAAAGCCAAAAAGGGTGAAGCCGCAAATGGAAAATACCTTTTGACTTTTTGAAAACTAGCAAAATTAGATCTGCAAACTATTCAACTGAGAGAAAATCGAAAACTGAATATATCCAAGAAACTGGAAACTAAAAACTGGAAGTGGGGTTGAGAAAATCGGAGCTCTATTGAAAAGAAGCATCAGGAGCATATGAAAAGTCGTCAAGGACAATTGTAAATGTACTCACTCAATGAACGTTTAATTTGATTTTGCTTATTAGAATGGTTTCAATTTTTTTTATCTTATTGTTGTTAAAGGTCGCCCCCCCTAACATGAATTTCTGGGTCCGTCCCTGCTCATTGCCACCAAAGCACACAAAGAATTATTGCTACTAAATCAAGTAGCACATAAATTTCATGCATAGATCTAATGGTCAACAATGCATAAAAGAGATGACATTACACGAAATTTTTCACTACTATGTTATTGTGCAGGAGTTAATATTAGCACTTCAACATGCCTAGCAATTAACAAACCCGTAGCTCAGCAAAGCCAACAAAAAAATAACTTCATAATACTACTTTGAGCCAAAGAGAAGTACCATATAACCCCTAAAAGCAGATTGTGCTTTCGTGGCAGCTTGTTCTTGTCTGATTCTTTCAGGATCTTTAGGAACATCTAGTTCTGTGGTTTCAGGTGCATCTGCATATTGATTCCCTTGCAATGCGATCGCCCCTTCCAGTGGTAAATTTGCAGTTGTTCCGTTTTCTTCCATCCTTTCTTCATTTTCATCAATGGAGTTCAAAACCAGATCTGAAGCTAGGGGAAGATCCAAATCCATGTCAGCTTCTGTTGCCTTGGCAGAAACCCAAATCTCTTTCTCATTTTGAACTTTCTTCACATAGAGTTGAAGAATTAGTTAGAACTTGCATATGCTAGTACTTCTGATACGGATAAATGATCTTATTAACTTGAAGCAATTGCTCCACAGAAAAATAATGATAATAATTCTTTAAAATTTCAGTTCAAGCAACTGAGGCTACATAGTATTTATTGGCATACAAGTCCACGAGGAATAGGCATTTGACACTAAATCCAACATATATTTTCAAACCACAACTATCCAAAAATTTGACTGCTCATATAAGTAGTAGAAACACAGGAAAATATCGGATATAAGTCAAAATCATGAGCTTCCACCATCAAAAGCATGACAATGTGGTGCTTGCCAGTCTACATCAACATAACAGGATATAAAACTCTACAAAGCTAAAGGTTCTACAAATGCAGCGGAAATTTGTCACTGACAGAAAAAGATTATCAATAGAACATATAACCTCATGTGGGCCATGTGGCTAATTAGGTAAGAAATTTGTAAAATAAAGTCGGAGTGCCAGAACCAGAAGCACTCATGTTCTACTTGTATCTTCTCCAAAAAGATTTGCAGTTTTATACAGAAATGATGTGTTGTTGCCAAAAGTATGAAAAAACATGTAACATGCAGTAATAAGCTTATTAATACCTCTCTTCCTTTGGACAAATTAGTTTTGGACGATTTCTTCCCAAAAAGTAGGGTTTTGATCCATTTCCCTGGTGATTTGCCCATTCCACGGAGTTCAAGGTCCAAAACCACCACAATCTGAACCCCACTCCCTGCATTAACCCACGTCATTAAAGCTTAAACATATGCAACAAAAACTCTAGATATGGAACAATACCTCATAAATATCATGCAATCTAGAAAATTAAAAATAAATAAAAATTAAGTGAAGATACCATGCCGAATGATAATATATGGTACAAAATCAGCTAGAAACCATGCAATCTAGAAAGATAAAGCAAAGAAGAAGAAAAAAAATAGAAGAAGGGTTATGATAAAAGACTGAAAAGATTAGGTCAATCTAGGTCACACAAATTGAATTCACGACTTTATAATGAAATCTATAATCTACCAGCCATTTTTTTAAGATCCCAATTTTATGTCATCAGAGACACAGAGAAATCCAGAAAACAGTTAAAATAAACTAGAATAGTACATTTTCTTTTTCTTTCTTTTTTTCTTTTCTGTTTTTTAAGGGGCAGTAAGTAACTTGTTTTCATAATTCTTAATAAGGAATCACTAAATCAATTATGTCTACAATCTTTTAAAATAACAACCATGGAAGTGTTTAGACCTTCTCTTGTTAAAGGATTTAAAGCAATTTGTATAAAAACTAAATAAACGAATTTGTATTTCTCCTTGTTGTAAGACTTCAATAGAGACTATTTGTTCAACAGTTTAAATTGTAAGACTTGATTCAAAATCAAAAGCATCAAAATCAAAAGCATCGTTATTGTATGTCCTGCTAGGTTTAACTTATGGTAAATTCCAATCTCTTGATTTATTATCTATGTTCTTTTTCTTAAGTGATATATTATCTATGTTATTGAACATAATTTCTTCAGAATATTTTATATCATCTATAATTATTTATTCATTGAGACATATATCTAAGCATTCTACCCATTGCCAGGATATTCTTTTAAGCAATCTAATCATGTTATCAATCTGTCAACGATTTACGTACCAAACAAAACCTAAAGCCTTTCACGCACAAGACTAACACCTTAAAACATTTGCATGACTTGGGTGACAGTGTAAGCATGTGATTAAGTAAAAAAACTTCAACAAACTAATATTTTGATGAAATGAAACTTGGCTCTGATACAAACCCTAAACCAAGAAACACGACACATGTAAGTATGTGACACATGTAAGTATGTAACACATTTTAAAACACATATAAAACTAAAAAATAAAACTGGATTATTAGAACTTTACATCAAAGTTACAAATTTACAAGCAATGAAAACACTTGGATTGAAAATAAATTGAACTTTGTACAAAGCACATTGAGCATAGTAACACAGTAGATCATACAAGAACATTAACATCATTTCCAATGACCATAATAACAAAAAATGAGTCACAATTTATAAGCAAGCGATGGACTTGAAAAATGATTTAAGTCCTAACAGCGGAGACTACCCATCTTGGATGGTGTGAAGTCGTACTAATGACATTTCTTTTAGATTTAAAAAACTATTGGATCGTAGCCCTAGGCTCTGATTAGAGTGTGTGCAAGGTCATGATCTAGAACTAGAGGAGGAGTGACCAGGTCTCAATTTTAAGCTATAACTAATTTAACCAACTTTTGCACCCTAACTAATTATAATTGTAATTCAAAAATTAAACTAACTAAAAGACAATTAAATCATTCCATTCAACATGCGACATATGTAAAGGAGAAAATTAAGGCAGTAATCAAGTATGAATACACAGATTTACATGAAAAATACGAACGGAAAAAACCATGAGACATAACCAGTAGATCAAAATCCACTATGAGAGAAAGAGGTTATAATTAAAATACCAAATATTCCCTAGAATAACCCAGTCCCTCCCCTGATCCTTCCAACTGCTGATCCGTGACAAACACACTCACGCAATCTGCTTCTCCATGAACTTTTATATTTCCTTTCTAGCAAGGTTTGACTCTACATGAGTGGATTTATTGTTGAAGAAACAATGAAGGGCAACAGTAGAGTTTTCAACAACCAAAGGGCACCCACCATGCTAGATATATGATGAATGTGAAACAAAAATGCAAAATGAATGCTATGAAGTACGCCTCTCTTTGGTTGAACATGGGTTATCTGTAAATTTTACTATCAGGAAAATATTTAATTTTAAAAGAAAACTCAGACTCACATGGCTCAATAAATCCAGCCAAGTGTCTATTGATGAAACCAGACTAGTGCCTTTGACTGATCCCTCGATTGATCAAAGTGTCCTGTCCTTTTATAAGTAGGGTTTTGATTTTAAGAAGCCTCCAAAAAAAAATTTATGCATATCAAAAGGAATTCTATGACTCAAAAATTAAAAAAATGAAACCCTAATTGATGAACGTATATACCTACTTGGTTAGTGTCTGGTATAAGTAGTAATTACCTAGCTTATGAATAATTCTTATGTTCAAGATTTGCACTTGGAGAAAGTGACATAACTAACTTGGCACTCCCATAAGCATACAAATAATAAAGAAAATTACAAACACCACCAAAGGTGTAGCCTAGTGGCACCTTCCAAAGAAACTTGAGGGTTCAAGACCACAAAGGGGCAAAGTGGGGTGTCTATGTGTTTCTTGCCAATTAACGATAAGGTTGGCAACTGTATCAGCATTTCGAATATATTAGGAATAATTTTGTAAGGAGTACTAATATTTCCAAAAGTCAAAAAACTTCCCAATAATTTTTGGTAAAATCAATTATCAAACAATATTATGAAGCAATTCTAATGGAAACAGAATGTGTTGTTATCCACCATAATCTTAATGCACGAAATCTGGCTTTATTAAAGCTAACAATCTTTGGCTCTTTGCAGTAATATCCTTCCCGAGTTAGGTATCCAAAATTCGTCAAGGATATAGTAATTAATGGGATTGTATCCAAATGTGGAAATATGCCTCCTATTACCAAAATCCACAAGCCAAACATTAAGCATTTTCCAATTCGATAAACCTTCCTTTGATTATATTCCCAGATGATTAAAACTGTGACTGGACAAATGAAAAATCCAATCGTAACAAGCATAAATGCCCCAAAAAGAAAATAATAATAAAAATAAATAAATAATGATAACCCAAAAAAACAAAATAAGAGGGAAAAAAAATCTGCAAGCAGAGAATGAATCAGCCGTCACAAATAAAATATGGAATAGCTTATGAAAATAATTGTAATCTGATCGGAGCACAACCATACAAATAGGCAACCACTTCAAACTCAACTAAATTGTTCCAAGATACAAACAGAGGAGGCAATCCAATTAAAATGAAGAAGTAAGAAATCAACGAAAAAGAGAAACTAAAAAACGAACAGAACATTGATAACACCCTAGAAACCCACCAGCACCAGCAGGATCAATTCTTACTAATGAAACTAATAAATCAAGAAAAGATACAGAGAGTACAAATGCAGAGAAATTAACTGAAGTAGCATCAGATCCGAGTCTTACCCACAAATGCAGTCCTCCGAAACCCTTAATCTACGGTTCCTGTTAAAAAAAAAAAAAAAAGCAACATGTTCAGAAAACAGAAACATACATATAAACTGAAAGTGTACATATATATATATGATTACACACACAAACATCTATATATATCACACGTAGTATTATATAGAGAGAGAGGCAGAAAGAGCAAGGCAAATGTACCATGACTGAGCTTGCAAATTAAGAAAATGCTCTCTCTTTCTCTCTGCTCTGTACTGAACACTGATGGCAAAAATTGCCTGAAATTGAACAATAGAATAGAATAGGAGATAAAGAATTCGGAGAGGGCAATCTCATGGTAGGATATATGTGATCCTTATTTGAACCGTTGGATTCGGATACTTTTCTAAAATTGAGTCTATCAGCCGGGAATTTGTGGGCCGCGGGCCGCAAACGTCAGCAAGCGTGCTTGGGCACCTGCTACGTGTTGGAGTTTGTGCTTGGCAACTGTTACTTCGAGAAAAAGTGTCCTGATGCTTTATGACGTCGCATCGTAAAATTACTTTTTGAGCTCTTAAGAGGTGAAGTTTGTCCTGACGCGCAACTGCGCAAGGGTTGTTTGGAAGACTGTGTACTCGCCGTCTGTCAATTCAGGATCGTGGAACGTGTTGTCGTAGCCGTTGGATGAAAGATGGTGATTTGTTGGATGAAGAACCAAAGATATCGCGGGCGGTGACAACGATAAGGGAGTGTTACGGGGGATAGTTGCCCCACGTCTATTCAAATAAAAAAGTGATTAAGTATAAAGATGGATATATATTATATAACACTATTTAATCATTTAAATTTTTAGATAAATAAATAAGAGTTTATTCGTTATAATTAATATCAAAATCAAATTTAATTCTTAATCTAGTACCACACCAAGCGTCCAACTCAAAAGGCGTTCAAGTAAGTCACCTCGGGTAGGCAGGTGGCTCGATTTGTTACAAAAGAATATTTGTGATTTGTTACGAAGGAATATTTGTCCCACATTTGATTCGAATGGGAGAGTGATGGGTATAAGTGGGTGAGTATGTAACATTATCCAACAGCTTGAACTTTTGGATAAATGGACAAATTCTCACCCGTTACAATATCATTATCATGTGATTAAGTAATATAAATTTTTTAAATACGATTAGGCATTAATTATTGTAATTACACCAATAAATAAAATTCAACAAGAACTCTTGTTAAATTTTAAAAATAACAAAATTTCTTTTGTATTTATGCAATCACTAATCAATACAAAATGTCATCAATACAAAACATGTTTTTTTTCAAGTTTTGTCATCACTAGGCAAGCCATGAAAAATTGAGAGATATAAAACAAATGTGAAATAATTTATGGTTAGTTTTGTACACATAAATGGAATAAAATGGTTTTTTTTTTCTTAATTGTTTCTTTATTTGGAATGAGTCTAGCCATTCTATTTCCTAATATTTTTTTATGAAAAATTAAATTTAAAAAACCCTCTCGTGTTAAGTCAAAAAATATGTACCATTACCACTATCTTTCATTACTATCACCGCCTTCTACCATTACCACGGTCTTTCATTACTACCATTGCTTTCACCATCCTCACCTCCACTGCCTTCCACCACCGCCACCACCACCATCACCACCACCACTTGCTGCTATTTTTAGGATCCAAACGATAAATTTTGACCAAAAACCACCCTCCCTACATTAGGGGGAAGATGCTAAATTTTGCGAGTTGAATTGTTTCCAAATAGAGTGAGTCTTGTTAGATCACATTGACTCACCAAAACTATCCTTAATAAATATGTCAACAGCCCGTTTAACCCATTGAGACTTTTTTTTTTTTTTTTAAGTCACCTAGACTTCATCAATCAGTTCTACACCCTCATTAGTTATACCTCATATATATGTCTTTACCATTCACTTTCTAATAATCCAAATTCACTTTTAGGTGGTGATCTAAAGTGTCTGTTTGGTTATATAAAATCAACTAGAAATTAAGCAAGATATATATTTTTTAATATAATTTGGATAGAATGAAAAAAAAAAAGGTACACCCACTCCACTATATGATGGGTGACATTGATACCATTTCGTAATAACTGACTCTATCACATGTTATGATATTGTTCATTTTAGGCCCGAACTCATACGATTTTATTCTTGTGTATTTACCCTAAAAACCTCATACCATCTGACAATAACACCATTAGATATAAGCATTTTATACTTCTTTTATTCAGGCGATGTAAGATTATGCAATCTCTAATTAGTCCTAGTGTGATAGTTCGCCTAGTACTTATTTACACCCGCCCACATGACAATTGTTTTACCCAATTATAACAATTTAATCATTTTCCTAATGGGTTTTAATGAACTACAAGCCAACAACTCAAGTTAAGGCACCTTTTATTTTATTTTATTTTATTTTACTTTATTAATATTTTTTTTAAAATACGTGTATCAACTCCACAATACACGCACAATTCAAGTAAGGAATGCGATTCAAAAGCGAGATCTCAACATCCCTATGCCCCCATGGTGTTAAGGCATCTTTCATATGGAATCAATTCGTTAAAATAATATTGTTTGTATTCTCAAAATCCATTTTTATTTTTTTCTATTTATAAGGCTATCACTAGCACACTCTTGTCTTGTTAACCTAATTTGAGTACCAGACCTAAATGTTGCTGCTTACAATCTTTATTATGTATGTTTTGTGGTCGTTAAAACACTAATTTATTTTATTATTATACTACTTTATATAATAATGGTAATTTAGATGAGTACAAATATATATTTTTTTAGCAACTTTTATGATATCCAAATCACTGTAAATGATTTCCGCTCAGCAGGAGTAATAAATTCATTCACACTATACATAAATGATTGCTACAATAAATGCATTACAATATTTTTTTATAAACTTTCTTGAAATTTTTTTATTCTAATTAAATATATGATAATATATATATATTTTTTCACCTTACTTTATTTTCGTTTCAATTTCAACTATTATTTTCTATCTAATCAATTGAAGCTAAAGGATTTAATTTTTACAACTATTTTGTATAGTGAATATTAGGCTTGGAAAAAGTGTTCACGTGTTTATCTATCCAAAAAATATTTGACAGAGTCACAGGGCCTATTATTCATTTGAAAAAAAAATAAAAATATATATATATATATAGGAGTTTCTGAAAAAGATGATAAATCAATAGTCCATTACTCCATTATGGTTGAAAAAAGAAAATGAAAGGAAAAAAAAGGAGAGAAATGAATGAAAAAAAAAAAGTGATACCTTTAATTTGGTCCCATCTAGGATTAATTGTTGGCTGATGAAGGTGCATGTACCAGAATTTGGATAGACATGCATAACCATAATTAATTTGTGCTAGATTTTGTAGTGTTGGGGGTTCTATTGCCAACGGTTGCTCATAGGGTCACATTGCTAATCGTCCAAGTAAAATCCAACATCCCAAACGCACTTCAAAACTTGGGCGATTGGAGGATTATTTCAACCATATTTTTGGGAATTTGAATTTTAAAAGTCTAGATCAAACACAATTCATAACTATCAAGGGTTCTTTAGAAAGAATCATGTTGGCCAACTAGCATCAACTAAAAGGTTCTTCAATATGGTCGGTGACACAATCAAGCTTGATTCTAATTTTTAGTTTGTTAATTTTATAGTTTAAACCATCCAGGACTGTAGTATAGAACTATAGTTTTTACTTTTTAAAATAAAATGTGAGAATTTAAGGGTTTGTTTGGTTTAATTTTTTGAGAATAAATTTTTATTTTTTAATAACTGAAAAACAGAAAATTATACAAAAACTTACTTTGTTGATAATTTCTGAGTCTGTTTTTTAAAAATTCAGTTAAAAAATGCTTGTTTCCTTACAATTGTTTTTTATAATTATCTAAAAATAATTTTATTTATAATTCTCTAAAAATTATTTTTTGTTTTCTAAGTTCTTAAGAATTACTTTATGAGTGAAACCAAGCAAAATCCTAAGAATCTGTTTGGTTTGTGAATAAGAAAATATTTTTATTCCTAGAAAACCAGAAATTAGAAAAATCATACAAAAAATCTACTTGCTTCAGTTTTCTAAAAACTATTTTCTAAAAATTCAGTTATAAAAATACTAGTTTAAGAGAAATGTCTTTTATAATTTTCTTAAAACAGTTTTATGTTTTATGACTTTTTCAAATTTGTTTGTTTTTTTTTATTTTTTTATTTTTTTAGTGTCAAGCAAATCCTAAAGTTGCCATGGAGATGAACAAGTGTGTGAATTTCTTACTAATAATAATAAAATAAAATAAAATAAAATTTGTAGTTGAAACTTATGAGAAACTCCTCAAACTATACTATGATTTTATTAGGTTTTAATAAATATTTTCATGTGATATATACATACTTTCCTCAGTTATAAATCATGTCAATGCACTGCACTTGGAGAAAATTCTATACATACTTTCCTCAGTTATAAATCATGTCAATGCACTGCACTTGGAGAAAATTCTAGTTATATTTTTCAAAATAAACTTTAATTAAAATAATACATATCCTTTAGTACTCTGTCCAGACTCCATCCTAAAATACTTGTACTATTTTTTATAATAATTTTTCTAAACTATTCATTTGATATTAATTTGATTAAACAAGTATACTAATTATAAAATTCTATTTTGTCTTTTAATAAAGATTGAAAATTCACTTTTATCAATGTAATAAAAAGCACCCCAAAAATTTTGGACCCAAGTGAATAATTTATTTTTAAGAGAAACAAAAAATGGAATCTATTTATAGAATAATATTTGGCAGAAGGAGATAATTATTGGGCGCGTGCAATGAAAACATAGTCCCCGCGAGTATATGTTAAAATTTCCTAAATATCCCGCCCAAATTCCAATTGTTACAATGTAGCCCTAAAACTCCTATAGTGACTTAACGCTTTTGACTCTTTAAATACAGTTCTTCAATTTTCTCTCAACTCTCTCTTTCTGAAGCAAACACAATGGAGGACAATGTAAAAGATCAATCTTCTAACTCTGGTACATCTATGCTCCAATCTATCTCTCTATGTAATATGTATATATATGCACAGTTGCACACACGTTTGATTGATATATTTGTCGCCTTTTCATTTGTATCTGGTTCATGTTGCAGAGAAAACGGCGACGTCATCCTCGAAACTTCGGTATCCTCTGCGTTCAGCAACCAAATCCAAGGAGGAGAAACCACCAGTTGCCGAATTCTCACACTCTTCTGCCCCAAAGAGGTGTATCAATCTGTTCTTTTCAGTTTGCAATTAATGTTTTTTTTGGGGGTTAGAAATAGAATTGAAGTCAATTTCCATCATTTTGTTGCACTATTAATTCATAGAGGTGAAATTGGTAGTTTTTTGGTTTTTGTTTTTAGATCTCTGATACATTTCATTGAAATTGAATCCTTGAACATCATGGTCCGTGTAGTATGTGGCGTTTCTGATTTTAATGTTAGGGTTGCAGTGAATGAAGTTTTCGTAGGGTAAAAGAAAATCAGGCGGTGAGACTTTTTAAAAGTAATGTGATGTGAGATTGGAACATGCACTTGCCCGTTGCAAGACATTATCTATGTTTGCTGATTTTTTTCTACTGTGGACTTTATTGATGAAGTGCTTGAAATTGCATAACATTGTTTCTGGAATGGGCTGCTATATGCGAAAAATTCATTTGATTTCAGATAGGTACTGGGCCAGATCATGGTCCGGTTGACATTTCAAAAGTATATCTTTCACTTCGAAAGAAAAAATATAGAAGCTGTGTCCAGTAATTGACTATAAGAAACCCGTAGGAAACCAACAAAAGGAACAGCAAAAAATATTATTTTCCTTACCAATTTATAGCCATTATAATTTAGCAGAATCCATTGATTCTTCAACTGACAGTGTTACCATCTAATGTGTGTGTTTTTTTTCAGTAAATTAGAATAAATTTATTTTAACATTACTTATTTAATACGATTTTAGTTATTGCATTTAGTGAAAAGAAGCAAAAACTAAGAGTACAAAAATGATTTCTTTTAGATTATCAACAAATACTTTCAGTTAATATTTTGTAGAATAAATTTATATATCATTTTTGCCCAAAAAAATGTAATAAAAATACATGTCATTTGTTTGGGAAGATTAGAATGGACCTGGGTTCTAGTTGGTCATTCCATTATAATAATGTTATCTTTTTTTTTATTTTGATTGGTCAGACATATTAATCGTTGCAAGATTCATCATTCCATACAGCTTCTGCTCACTCCACATAATATGTTACCTTTCATCTTATTTGCTCTGTACATAGTATGGTTGAAAGTTGAAACTAGATATTTGGTATCTAGAATGTCTTCTGCTAATCATGCTTTATGGTATGTGCATGTAAAGTGATCACAGTATCACATTAAGTCTAATTTTAAAATAGGTTATCAAGTTGAAGTTTGTTCCTGAGGCAGAAAGTTTTTCAGCTCTTGCATGGTCAGATTAAATTATGTTGAACTTTGTAGGGTTGTAAATGGGGTGTATGGGGGGTCAGGAAAGTTGCATATGAACTCCATTATTTTGAAAATTCCTTATAAGGTCTCTTGCAAAGTCAAAGATATATATCTTTTTCAGCATACTAGAGTTGCATACTTTTAGTTCCTGTCTAACTTTTCATAGATTATAGGTGCAACCCTATGGTTTCTTGCATGCCAAAATACTGATATCTTTCTGGGATACCCCTTTTTTTTCTTCAGGGGAAGGCCTGCATCTAGTGTAAGTAAGAGCACGGCTGTTCTTGATCACTCTAGTGAGGACAAATCTGCCAAGCCTCCTAGAAGGCTTACTATTCCTTGTAAATCAAATGTTGGCTCTGCTTCAAGAACAGTTGGCAGTGTTACTCCCATTTCTGAAACCAGAGCAAAGAGGTCTGTTAATAGTCGAGGGAAGAGTGACACGCCAGTTTCTGATGCTTCTAAATCTTTAAACACGAAGAAATTTAATGTTATTTCCTCAGCATCTTACTGGCTTTCACAGATTAAGCTCTCTGAAACTGCTGCTAAACACTCAATTTCCCTTGGTTTCTTCAAACTTGCTTTAGAGGCTGGATGTGAGGTATGCCAGATGACATATCCCTGCTTTAGATTCATATAATAAACATGGGGCTAAACGAACCTTACTGAATTTTTATTTGGAATCAGATATTCACTTGTGGGCCTATTCAACTCATTATTTTATACAGTTTCATAATTAAGTAGTTTGCACACCATTTCAAATTTGAAAATGTTTAAAATATTGTTTTGATTGGTAGAAAGCAATGTGCTCAAATGTACTGATTTTTTCAGACTGGGTAATTATGCCCTTTAAGTGCTTCAGATGTGGTTAAATAAATAAAAAGTTTAGAGCCATTATAGTGAGCATTCTCTTCATTGTTCACTTTGAGTCTAGATATTGGTCTCATCGGGTTAATCATTGGGTCAGACCTGCATTATGCCACATGAGGCATTTTGCTAGAGGCACTAAATGCAGTTTCAAGTTTCAACTCTCAATTTAGATATTGATCTTTTTATTTAATTTGTGATAAAAATAAATTTACATCTCTTTGTTATACAGATACTAGAATGTTATTCCATTTTGTAGTTTGTCTGCATGTGTATCATTATTATTTTTTACTTTTGCTGTACTTGGTTTGGGAAAGGTGTCTATCTGTGAATTTTCAAATATTGTTAATTTAGTCAGATGGTTAATATTGAGCACTTTTTGTGTTTTCTGTTTTTGTTTGTTATTTTAATTATGTTCTACAATGTTGAAATCAGCCTATTCAGAGAATGAGGGATGAGCTGAAATCTTATGCACAGCGATATAACTTTGTCGAACTTGGAGAACCTGCAAAAGAATTATTTGAAAGCTACAACATTTTAGAGAACTTCGAGCAGTTGCAGGTCTCTGAAACTTGTTCCCAAGTGCTTCAAGAGGAAACTAGAACATCTGATGATGATGTACACAGCTCTTCTTCTATTACAGAAATTAGGAAACTGGAGCCTAAGCCCTTAAACACTGATGCTGTTCAAGTTTCCCCAGTAATAGAATCAACCAAGAAGGAAATTCCCCAAAAGAATAATTCTGGAATGAGGACTAATGGATCCTCTAAAAAGAAGTCTGCAACCTTAAGATCTGTTTCTGAAACTTCAGGGAGTAGTGTACCAAAAAAATCCTTGAAACCAATCGAGTGGCAATCTAATAAAGACAATGATAAGATAAAGAAGCAGGGAAAGAAATCTGCTAGTGGAGAAGGTAATGACCAATTGGTTCATAATTCATTTTCTAATTTGGTATTACAATTTGGCAGGGTGTTAATCAGCTTATACATTTTTACAGGTCAAGCCAACCCTTTTCCCGTGGAGGAAACGCACAAGGAAAGCAAAGAAAACATGGTAAATTTGATTTTGAAAAAAGAAAAAAAGAAGATAAAATAAAATTTTTGTCAGTCAGTTCCCTGAATTTTGTGTTAATTAATGTGAAGAAAATTTTAATTTCTCTAGTTTATTACCACAAAAGAAAACGTTGCAGTTAGTAAAAGGTTGGAAGGCTTGTTGATAACTTAGCTGACTGCTTTACATGTCTGATAAGTGACCAAATATTTGTGCACTCAACAGTCTCAATTCTTACTCCAAAAATGCTTTTATAACATTGCTGAAAGATGAAGGTCCAAGCAAAACACCCACAATTTTGTCTCTAACACGGCTCGAACTCTCAAAAATGAACTTGAGGAGAGATCGTACCATCGCCCATCGGGGCTAATGCACATTCAGTGAACTCGAAAAAAGTTCATTTCTTAGTATTTTGAGATGTATTATTATACAGATGTCTCTTTTACTTAGTTGTTGTCATTATTGATAATTTCCTTAATCTATCTCAATTGTTGTAGGATGCTCCCCAGATGGAAGAGATCATGTGACTGAAGTTTACTTTAGACACATCCTATGCACTGTGCATGCAGAATTCTTGTTGGCTTTTGTCTCAGCGGTTTTCTTTTGTATAGAAAGGATTAAGTGGACGTGTTTCAGTGTGTGTGGGAAGTAAGAAATTTACAATTTTTTTAATTTGCCCTTTTTCTTTTTGGTGGGTAAAGTTGGAAGTATGTGTCCATTATACAATTACTGAGTGATTTTGAATTGCGTTGGATTATTAAACTTGGTTTATGTTGTTGGCTGTTTTAATAATTTTGCAGGTTTGAAAGTAGTACACCAGTTGTTGTCAAGGATTATATTACAGTATGCATATTATATAATTAATGAATTATTAAATTCAATTATTGGACTAATTGGCTTGACTTAGTAATAACCCTAGGCTTGAGCATTGGCCACGTAATATTACTATAGGAAAGAGTAGGATGATTATTGATTGAATATTGATCTTCTTCTGTTCTGTAGACAGCAGAATTGGTCATCTAAATATTTGATGGCTGTCCATATTCAATGGACTGTGATCCTATTTTCTTGAAAAAGCACATCAAATAAATGTAAAAAGGCCCAATCATATGTAACATTACTCCATTTTTTTATTTTTTTATTTATAATTTAATATTCTACAATTTCTTGAGTGGAGACCCATAAAAATTTAATATTTTCCAATTCTTATATTTGTAAATATATCACTTATCTCTTTCTGTACACATTACCTTTTGACTCTAGAATTTCTTGAACATATTTATACCTTTTACTTCTAAACTTTTAGCGGTAATCCCTTCCGACACCGCATCATTCAAAGAGAAAAAACAAAAAAAAAGTAGACGTGTCATGATTATCAGTTTGATCCCATTTTTTTTTTAATAATTAACCTTTTATAGTATAAAAAGTAATTTAATAATATCATGATACATAAAATGGAGGAAGGAAGTTACTCATTGTGAAAGAGTATTTTTGTAAATTTTTCAAAACAGTCGGAGGCAAATGAGGAAAAAAAAAAAAATCTGGCTAAAATTGAAAAATAATGGGCCAAAGCAATGCTATAACTTGAGAAATTTTACGCTGTAAATTGTCTTGGGGCCTTTTGAGTTGTATTGAGCTTACCAGTATATTGGAAGAATTTAATTATTTATTTCATAACGATGACGTACTTGAATTTCATGTGCATGTAAACTTCATCTCTATAGCTATTATAAACTATTGCAAGATTGTGTTGTCGTTTTGCCATATTAACTGAGGAAACATCTTTATCATAGACGTGGGTACAAATGGATAAGAATCGAACACCCCATATATATATATATATATATATATACAAAAATGGAATCTTAACGTGGTTACAAATAGATAAGAATTGAAACACCATATATACACGGTTACACACACAAACACACAAAATAAAAATCTTTTCAGTCTAATCTCCTCCATATGCTGAATATGTCAACTATCAACAACTTGTCTTTCAAGAAGAAAAAGAAAAGAAAGATGTGGTTATTCAACTCTACTTGCTGTAGTCACCAATCACCATCTACGTGCACAAAATTCTCCATTGAAACGTGATATATAGCCAAAAAAAGGTTGAAAATCCATGCTCAAATTTCTTCATCATATGATCGATATGACATACGTACCACCTTAGAAAAATTAATATAACTTTTTATACATAAGAATGCAAAATTAATCAACCATACGATCCATATGGTCTCTATCATCAGCAGGAGAGGTAGATTTGCTTTTAGAGGAAGAAGATGGTAATGAAGGTTGCTGAAACATCAAGCTTCGTGACTGAGAATTCTCCATTGAAGGTGATCTGCTCAAGTAGCTTGAATTGGTAGAGTTAACAACTGGAAATGACTCACCCTCTTTAAAATTCTGGCAAAATTTATAGTCACCGCCGCCAACGCCAACGCCACCACCACCAATGATTGATGTTAGAGCAGCTACTAAAGCAGATTGAAAACTAGGGTCTGATGTGATTGCCTTGGTTGCAGCTGCCACGGTTTCCGGTCCTAGGGACTGTCCATGTTGAGGAGGAGTTGAAATACTACTACTCTCATGCATGTGAGGTTGATAAATGTTTTCTTGAGCCTGACTTCCAAAGTTTAGGGAACCGAATTGGTTCTTGTAGTTATTGAAAGGTTGAGTACTTCCATGGTTGAGGACCGCGTTGCTCCAAGAGACCGGTAAAGGGTTGGATTCCAAAGAAGTGAAGTTGAGATTTGTGGAAGCATATGATCTTAGAGGGAAACTGGAAGGGGTTTTATTGAAATGGGATAGGGAAGTGGATGAGGTTGAAGTGAGATCAAGAGTAATTGTTGGGTGTGAAGTTGAAGGTGTGATTGAAGAGTTTGGTAGGTAAAATTGGTTTGATCTTGAATTATGAGTGAGAGAAAAGTTCAATCCATGGAGGCCTGCAAGTGATCCAGAGCTGGATGAGCCTGACATTACCATGGAAACAGCTGCTGATGTGGTGGAGGCCATAGCGGTGGCTGCAATAGGAAGTGGGTGGTTGTGTGATCCTTCATAGGTGCTGATCAAGATTGACATGTCCTCGACACATCTTTGCACCTAATTCAAATTCAGAAAAAAACATTTGAATTTAAGAGACCAGCTAAAAGATTATTGTTTAGATAGATAAATCTAAAGTACCATTGTGATTTGGAGGACGAGTTCAAAACTGAAAACAATTCGGAGCAAGACTACATATATATATGTCACTCCTCATACCCCACAATGACAAGACTCGTGCATACGAGTAGCCCTGCTATTTGGGACTAACTACTCATAAAATTAATTTAGATTGGGAAATGTTTAACGCATTAATTTTTTCACCTTCTTTCTGACTGGACATGTGGGTGCAATACTGCAACGATAATATGCACGGGGGCATGGGTTTCCTTTTGCGATCTTCTGTCCATACTTTCTCCATTGACACCCATCGTTCATCTGTATATTGATCAAAAAATTAAGAACAATTTTGTTAATTCAATCTTAATTGCCAAATTAAAATAGATACATGACATTTCACTAGAACCTAGCTAATATTAATTAAGCCAATTAGATTGTCCTTCTTCAAGAAATAAATTTTATATATCATGTAACAGTACTCCATTGTTGTAGTTTGAATGATTAATACTAACCGTTGGGGTGTCGCATCTCACTCTAACAGACACCCTAGTTTTCTTCACAGGGTTTTGTTGTGAAACTTCATCATCTCCACTCCTCTTTGTCTTCAGAACTTTACGTGGCCAACTATCCGCAGCTAATTCTTCTTTCACTTCTAAGCTATTCTCAGGGCTCGTATTAAGCGAATGTTCAGTTGGTCTTGTTTTTGGCACTTCAAATTTGTAGTCCAATCCGATATCCAAGCTTTTGTTATGTTGTTCATCATATTCCTCTTTACCTTTGCTAGGAAATTTGTTCTTTTCATCCTTTTTTGGATTACTTGAAGTAGTTCTTCCAAGACTCAAGGAAACAAGCTCTGGCTCATTGGTTATTTGGTGATCAGTATTACTTGTGTTGGTGGACTTTTCTGCTTCTTTCTTACCAATCTCATAGAACTGCATCTGAAGGGCCTCATAATCCTTCATAATTCTATCTAAATACATCCTTAGTTTTTGGTTTTCTTCTCTTGCCTCACCCATTTTGGCTTTCACTGATTCAAGCTGATCATCCTACAGCAATCATCACCAATGTCATGGAGAGATCGATGTTATTATATATATATATAGTGTTAATGGAGTGTTGAAACAAGACTTTGGAGTACATTGAATCTCAATCGTAGTCCTAATTAATGTTGCTAGGAGAAATTACTAAGTAGCTATAATTGATGCATGTCAAGCATGCTTAATTAAAAACAAAATTAATGGATTGGAAGCATTTCTAACCTGATCCATTCGGGTTGATGAAGATGCTTTTGAGTTGGGTCCTGTGGATGATCTTTCCATCTTACTTATGACAGCTACCTGTTTGAGCATTACATTTTAAAACCCTCCACTTGAAGGAAGTACTGTATATATATATTTTGAAGATAGAATTCAAATTTAATTGGTACTTGAGAAAAAAAAAAAGAGGAGAAAGTAGACATAGGGGCGTAGATATACGAGTGACCACTCTTAAGTCTTCAAGAAAAAGAAAAAAAGAAAAAAGAAATAAGAAAAAATCAGATTTAATCTTTTTACTTGTCATTTGGTCTAATTGAGGACCAACCAAAATGAATTGCCGGTTTGTAGAGGATATTCTAGCTCGCTAGCTAGGTCTAAAAGTCACAAATTAAGAGGCGCTTCTCGACACATGGTTATGGTCAAATTACTACTCGTATTAATCAAAGTTTATAAGCAGCTATAAAACTGTTTGGAGCTATATGTGCCGGCTAATTAATATATATGACTTTTTCGAACCATTAAATCACGGCAATGGATGCTGTTAATCCCATTATTCACAAATACTATGCTGTTTCAAACCATTATGGTTTTTTGTGATATAGTTAGAACAATTTGTGGGTGTGTTATATATGGGTGATTCCTCATCAACTAGATATCAAGTTATAGCTGAAAATTGTTTCCAAAGATTTTAGGTAAAAGACATAAAAGAAAAAAAAAATTTAAAAATTCTTGACAAAATTGAAGATTTATAGACCTAAATTATACATATATACTCATGACAGTACTTCTATCAATCCAATCTGTAATTCTAATAGGAGACAGCTAGGAAAATATGTATTCAATAAATTAAGCAATATTAGAACTTAATTAAATATCGACTTACCCTACTAAAAATAAAATGAAAAATACCATCAACGTACAAGAAGCCTATAGAAAATTAGATTCTTTACCTGCAGCTTGGCACAGCTTAAATCCTTGTTATGTTCTGGTGAAGATGGCTTCAAAGAATCATCTTCTAGGTCTTTTCTTCCATTTCCAATCTGAAGCATGATAAATTAGGCTATGGATAATTTGATATATATATATATATAAGAAACAAAGAGAGAGAAGAATTCATAAAGAAGGGAAGAAGACTCACCTTATGAACAAAATCTTGTTTGCAAGTACTACTGCCTTCTTCATCTCCATTAATAATAGATTCAACTCTTTGATCCTCCTTGAGTCCACCTTTATGACTACCTTTTCTCAATAATTTATCCTCCATCTCTCTCTCTCTCTCTCTAGATATATTATTTTCTTAACCATATTTTGAGTTGCATATATTTCTCTTGTTATATATAAGTAGAGCCTGATGTATTTGACTCGTTTAATGTAGTATTTCACCAATATTCGCATTGCCTTCACTCATCAAACACAACTAGTACACAAATGTCAAAGTGTATACAAAACTAATAAAGCTTGAGGAATTCAAATTCAAAGTTTAGGTCCTTTTAATTAACTAGATAGATATAGCATATGTGTGTGTGTGTGAGAGAGAGAGAGAGAGCACTTTGAGCCGCAATGGCCAGTCTCTGCCGTGTAGGCTCATACTACTTGAGTTAAATGGTTGAAGTTTTCCTATATATATATATAAATGTATGTCTGTATTTTTTTTTTATTACATGCAAAAGTCATGTATATGGCCACCGTTGACTGGTCAAATTTGTGCCAACATCGTACCAATTCCTACCACCGGAGCTTATTTGACGGCGCTAACTTGGGATTGAGGTCAACGGCTGTGGGGTTTAACTAGTGCCTATTTCGTCTTTCCATGCTATTGACTTGGGTTTGTCTACTAACTGTTACGTATAAGATTGATGTGCCAACAAACATGCATTGAACATGTACCATTGATTACAGTATTCTGTGATCTCACACTTGGCCTACTCACTTCGATCTTGAATATGCATTGAACGTGTACGTACCGAATATTATATTGGAGGTACCTCACAAGAGAGAGTTTTGTGAAACACATATAGAAGAACTATTATGGCCTATGAGTTTCTTTGTATACATTGTTAAAAATTCTCTTCTATAATAACTCTACGTACATAATCTCGTGGACGTAGATTAAGTTTGGCCGAATCATGTAAATATTTTATTTTGTGAGTAATTTTTTTTATTTTTTCTTCGGTTGGATCCTCATGTTTAAGTGTTAGCTTCCGCTACGAAGCTATTGAAGGGCTAACTTGGCCTATAGTCCGGGTCCAAAAAAATAAATAAGAAAAATAAAAAAATAGTACTACTGTACATTAGTTCACAGTCTAATCCATATGCAATACTACTATTCATTTTAGTCCGGTCGATATGTAATATTACTCTTTCTCTTAACCCAATCCACTTTGTAATCTTGGTTTCGCCCCTACCAACTTCTTGATTGTTATTGCGTAGCTTGTCTTCCTAATTCTTTGGTTGACTTTGTTGGATTCACATTGTGTTTCTTAATTGTTGCTTTCCTTTCATGGAGCTTCTTGTTTTCCTTTGCTTTTGTAGAGATTCCCTTTGATTTGTATATGTCCTTAGTACATTCATATTTTATTGGGGAAAAAAAAAAAAAAATTGTGACACCGATATTTAATGCTCTTGCTAGCAGCTAAAATTTTGCACTTCTCTTGATTATTTATTAATTAATTTGACTAAGTTGCGTTATGTTGATTATGTATGGTGCTTTGTCATTTATCATGCCTTTGGAGAAGTGTAAATTTGACCTTTCCACAATTAACTTTGTAATGTTCATTTTCCTTACTCTAAACTCTGATTCAATGCGCCTACTTTGTTTTTTTCAAAAGTCATTGATAACGATATTGATAATAATATTTCATACGCCTAATCATCGTATATGCATGGACTTGATGAGATTGAATATGCGAGGTCCCTTTTAAGTATATTTATTTTCGAGAGGAGAAAATTATGTCCCGACATGACTGACTAAGCATTAAAATCCACAATATTTTTTTGGCTGTAGATCGACCACCCACGGTATGGAAATAAATAATCATCCTGTACTTTCCTACGGATTTCTAATTTTTGTCGTCAAATATAATCAAATTTATGACTATATATTCTATAGTGTTCCCTCTAAAAGTCTCACTATTTACTTGGCCTATACACTACCATCTCTTATTTTTAAAACTTTTTGTTCATAATTTTTTTTTTTTTGGGTCAGTAAAAATAAATAAATAAATAATAAAACAGCCCAATGTTTGTGTGCTTTGTTATAAAGATGCAGAGTCTCTAAGTGTGCCTTTTATGCTATCATTTTTTCTTTACGATTCCGTTTGTTTGGATATAAAATATTTTTTTTTAAAAATATATTTTTTATTTTTTGGTATTTGATTTTCGTAAAATATTTATGAAGAAAAAAAATTAAAATCTAGTAAAATTAACTTATTCATAAATTTTGGACAAGTTATAAAAAAAAATATTTTTTAATTTTTTGGTATTTGATTTTCGTAAAATATTTATGAAGAAAAAAAATATTAAAATCTAACAAAATTAACTTATTCATAAATTTTGGACAAGTTATTTTATACGCCCCACCTGGGAGAATTGCAAGAGGTCTTGAAAATTTAAAACTCTACATATGCTTTAGTATATCGAACAATTTTATACTTGAGCTAGATTCATGTGGTAAGACAATGCAAATGTCTTCTTGAGAGAGATACATATTGCTTGGTTTGGAATCCCCCTGGTGCCTTCTAAATTTGATTCAAATGTGTAAAAACTTGTTTTATTCCTTTCTAACTTGTAACCCTTTTTTTTTCTGTTTTTTTCTTTTTTTGTGGCAATATTTTTTGTTTTAAGGCCCTGGAGGATGGCCCTTGTAGCTGCATACAGGATTTATCATTTATCCTTCTATATAATACTTTATTACCATAAAAAAACACAATAAGATTTCCGACCAACAAACTAGCTTGATTTTTATTTTTGAAATCTAGCGTTATCCTCCTCAGGTATATTCATGCACGTGTTGGATCAAAATTTAGCCATATTTAAAAAGATGTATTTATTATTTATGTTTGTGTAGAAACAAAATCTAAGTTTGTAAAAAGATATATTTACGAGGACGGCACGTATGGTGCATGTTGTTTGACTAATTATGTGTACATTTTTTTTATATTCATATCGATCACTAATGTGATTCCTCATAAATATAAATCGTTTTGTTTAACCGGTAGGTGATAAAAGATTTGGCCATAAATATATGAGGTTTGGTCTAACAGTATTAGTCTCTTACTCTTCAAAGGGCGGTCAATGGTTCAAATTTCAGAAGAAATAAGTGTACAAGGATACCCAAAAAAAAAAATAAGGGGGAGAAATAGAACAAAAAAAAACAAAGTGGGAGTTACATACCACTAGCCACAGTTAACACATCTGCAAAAAAATTTGTGTGGGTCCATTTGATTAGCTCAAAATAGAAGTTAGAAGTTGAGCCTAATTAGCCCGCGGTTAACCATGTAGTGTTGATTCCATGCGGCAGTGGTGTTGAGGACATGAGATTTTAAGTTAAGTTGCAACTTAAACTGTAATTAACAGTATGCATGCACTTTCATACTATTTGACACAAACATATGCATAATGCATATAGGGGAAACTATATAACGGGCTGGTATCTTGGGGCTTCTGGTCGATAATTATCTTTACGCTCTTTTATTTCTATATTATTCTTTGGATTTTCACTGATTTATGTGAGATATCATTAATATCCTAATTAGATTTGTCTCACATCATACTCACTCTCTATCATTGCTCTTTTTATTTTCATGTGGGGATTTAAACACCTTTTTTCCACAAAGCAGTATCCTCAAGAGCAAACATGAACAAGATCGTGTCCATCAACTGATCAACTAATGGTATTCTCCTTGAAACTGAAGATGAGATTAAGAAGGAAGCCGTTAGCCACTTCCAAAGCATTTTGGGATGCAGCTCACACTCATACAGAGATCTTACAATGCATGCTTTCACTGCACCGCACAATGAAAAAGCACCTGGACCTGATGGCTATAATGCACATTTCTTCAAGAAGACATGGCACATTGTTGGTAGGGATATCACACATGAGTGGCAGAATCCTCAAGGAAATCAACACTTGCTTCATCACACTTGTCCCTAAAACAGTAAACCCTTCTTCCTTCAACGAGTATAAGCTTATCTCTTGTTGTACAACCGCATCTATAAATGCATCTTTAAGCTCCTCGTAAACAAGCTTAAGCCCATTCTACCACATATCATTGATCCATCCCAATCAGCTTTCATCAGGGGAAGGAGAATTGATGATAATATACTTCTATCACAAGAGCTTCTCACTGGTTACCACAACTTTTCATCATCTCCTAGACGTACCATCAAAATAGACCTTAGGAAAGACTTTGATAGTGTCTCAAGCTAGGCCCTTTCTACTTGATTCTCCCTCCCTTCTTGATTTTCCAGCCATTTACACCAATTGGGTCAAGTCTTGCATATCGACAGCCTTTTACTCTATCTCAATCAATGGTGAATTCCATGGATTCTTCACTAGCTCTCAAGGTCGACTTAGACAGGGTGATCCTCTATCACCCATTCTCTTTGTTATTGTCATGCAGGTTTTTAGCTGGATATTCAATAAATGAATTCGAGACAATCCATATTTCAAATACCATTGGAGATGCAAAAACATTTCCCTCTCCCATCTCATCTTTGCAGATGATTTAATGATTTTGACCCGTGCTAATACTTACTCAATCCAGACTATTAAGTCTCGCTTTGATCTGTTTTGTTCTCTTTCAGGTATCATTATTAATCTCCTCAAAAACAACATTTTCTTCTCTGGTGTTAGCCCTGAAGTTAAAAACATCCATTCTTAGCATTCTTGGAATTGAAAATGATTCATTCCCATTACCTATATGGAAGTTCCACTCATCTCTACCAGATTTAGATCCACATACTGTAAAAGTCCAACTTGATAAGGTCACAAGTAGAATCAGAAACTGGACAAGCAGATTCCTCTCCTTTGCAGAAAGAGTGCAACTCATTAGATCTGTTTTAAGGTAACTTGGGCTATTACACGCAGATCCATGACTCACCTTGGGGACTTGGTATACCACATATCCAGACTTGGAACAGGGCAGCTATCATGAAACAACTTTGGACCCACTCTACCACATGGTATGATATTGTTTACTTTAGGCCCGAACTTGAATGGTTTTGCTCATGGGTTTTACTTCAAAATGCCTCGTACTAATTGAAATGACACACCTACATATACAATACTTTCCCCTTCCACATTCAAACGATGT